GGGCATCACTCTCAGATCACACCGATATAAGTCCCAATTATTTATGAATAGGAAGTGATAATGATGAAAAAATGAGGTTCACAGTCAGTACCAATAGAAACAACATCTGTGTAGCACTAGTAAGGCTTCAACACTCTCAAGGAATTGGAAAACGGCTCAGGTTCTGTTCCGCTTCCTGCAACTGCTCTTCGAAACGTCTCCTTCTCGCCTCATCCGGAGCGCATCGAGCAGCTGTTTTGAGCGACCCCACTTCGCCGTAGAATTCAGCAACATTGTGAAAAATTCGAATGTATCGATCTCCACAGCTTCCCAACATCTTCCCGCAGGGGCTCATTCGTAATCGACTGATCGGCTTGTCATGCACATCCAGAACTAAATATTAAACAATTGAAAAACTGTTAAAATTTATGATTATTATCACTATCAATTTAATGCTCTTCCTAATAGGTGAGGCACCTCATCAAAGTCTAAATTTGAGGCGAAATTCAGGCAGAGCTCTTTAAAATTCCAGCTTTCTAGCCTTTCAGTTTCCTGAATTAACAACTTACTCGCAAAAAAATTTCACGGGTCTGCACATGAGAACGACGTACACCCTGGGGGCTGGGTTTGAAATCAACTAATTGTACATCGATAATGCCCAACACATGCACACTATACATACACAAATACATTAAATACACACATAAACACACACACGCACAGACACACGAGCACATACACAAAGACATCAAAAACACCTCAAAACGGCTAAAAATCTCCCGCTAAGGACTCCTATTCAAAAAACCGCTGAACTGATAATCCCGCCAGGACAAATGACAAAATATCATTTCTTGCATGCCGCTAATCAATAAAAAATCTTCTCAAAAGCAAAATAATTAAAATTTGGTTAGCTATAAAAACTTACTCAATTCAAAGCTCTTTGTTGGTTCTTCGGTGCTGTAGAGACGAAGATGTCTGTTGGCTGATATTGCGAAGCTTTTTCCGGACGGACTCATTGCCACATGAACTGATTCTGGGTCTGCATTCTTCAGCAAATCAAATTTGCCACTAAAAATGCACATCATATTACCGCAAAGCTGCAAACTTTTGGTTAGCTGTTCGGTGTATGTGCGTCGCCTGTTCAAAGGCCATCTGAGTGGTCGCTTATTTTCCCGCAGTTATCAAAACAGGAAGATAATCATTGCATATTTAAGCCAAAAAAATCCGGCTAAAAAATAATTCGAAGAATTCCAGACTGTAAAAAAAA